AAAAAAAAAAAAAAAAGACTACAGGGGGTCCAGAATGCTGTACTTCTCTAGTACAGCATTAGAAAAAAAAAATTACTTTCTGCTGAGGTTCTGTGTTCCTCAAGCCTCTGAACTATTTTAGAGGGTTGTAAAGAAAATTTATCATTCTTCTAGCCTCCAAATTGGTGTCCAGTAGCTCCTGTCCCAGCTCAGATAAATAGCACCCACCTCTGATGTTTATATAGAGATGTCTTTGTAAAGGGTCTCTTCTTAATATAATCAGAAAAATTAAGAGAACATAGGAAAAAGAAAGTGTGACAAAAAATGCAAACAGAATTTAGAAATTCTTAATTTAGATCTTTTCAGTTCTCTATTTTCTTTTCCTTTTTTTTTTTGAGATTAAAGTCTCATTCTGTTGCTCAGGCTATAGTGCCCCGGTGCTCAGACTAGCTTGCAGCTACCTTAAACTCCTGGGTTGAAGCAATCCTCTTGCCTCAGCCTCCCACATATCTGGGAATACAGACACTCACCACAATGCCTGGCTAATTTTTCTATTAGTTGAGATGGGGTCTTGGTCTTGCTCTGCTCTCAAACTGCTGACCTCAAGTGACCTTCCCACTTCGGCCTCCCAGAGTGTTGGGATTACAGGAGTGAGCCACCATGCCTGGCCCAGTTGTCTATTTTCTTAAAATAACATCTGTAGTATTTACAACTGAAGGAAAAGGTCAAGTAAGTCTGTATAATATTTCCGGTTGTTTATTTAATGATAAAGGAATGGAATAGAAAGAGCACAATTCATGGAGTCGACCGACCAGCTCAACCACATACTAGCAATATGATCTTGGGCAAGTTATTCAATCCTTCTGAGCTTATTCCCTCATAATAAAGTATGCAAAATAATAACTTCCTAAAAGTAGTGGCATGAGAATTAGAGATAATATATGTACAGCAAACAGTGTCTACCAGATAATAATCATTCAGTAAACGGTAATTATCGGTAGGAGGAGTTGCCTTCTTTTTATTAGAGGGGGGAGGGTTCATTCTGTTAGGCTGCAGCCTCAAACTCCTGGGCTCAAGTGATCCTGCTGCCTCAGCCTCCTGACGTGATGCACATCACCACACCCAGCTAATTTTTCTTTCTTTTTTTTTGTAGAGAGGGGGTATGTTGTATGTTCCCCAGGCTGGTCTTGAACTCCTGGCCTTAAGTGATCCTCCCACCTTGGCCTCCCAAAGTTTGGGGACTACAGGCATAAGCCACCATGCCTGGTTGGTAATAGTTACCATGGTCACTTTTCAGTATCTGGATATGTTTCAAAAAGAGCATAAAGGAGGGTTATTCTGCATGTTTTTACTTCAGCAGTACATTTAAGTAACTCACCAAATCAGTTTCATAGGAACAGCTGTGTGACCAAGGGACCATTTCCAACATATGTCACTCCACCAAGCTTTGTAAAACCCCCAGTTTTTCTTTTATCTTTCTTTCTTTCTTTCTTTTTTTTTTTTTTTTTTTTTTGAGACAGAGACTCAAGCTGTCACCCTGGGTAGAGTGTTGTGGCATCACAGCTCACAGCAACCTCCAACTCCTGGGCTCAAGCAAGTCTCCTGCCTCAGCCTCCCAAGTAGCTGGGACGAATGAGCCAATAACTATGGGGCTGATTTTCTGATATTTGAAATCCAAGATGGGGGAGCATCTTACCTTTCTTGTTCCCCAGGTCTCATTTCCAACCTTTTCAGCAGACTCTTCATCATTTGTAAGAAGGACATTGTCAAAGATGCTGCCTGATTTTACCTATTAAAGTGAAAGCAATGCGATTATTAGAAGTAGGTATCTAAATGGTAAAGGGCTAAAAAGTCACCAGGGAGCCTTGCTAAATGCTAGTTCCCAGGCCACACACTCAGAGATTTTAATCAATAATTGCTATTGGGTAAGGAAATACAAAGGTTATTAAGAATACAGGGGGTCCTTGGCTCAGTGCCTGCAGC